GCAAGCATGATTCAGGTATGGGGGGAATTGATAGGGTATAATTTGTTAGTAATTTTATTATTAATTTTTCCTTTTATCCCTGATAAATATTGTGTTAATTGCTGATATTTACTCATATTTGGTATCTGGACTTAATTCCAGGAATGAAGCAGAAAACTATCAAAAAGGAGGGACTTTATGAAAAATTGGAGACTTCTAAGGGCTTCAGTTCTTGGGCCCTTGAATTGGTGGGGGACCACAAGTTAGTGGAAGGCATTTAGTCATTTGGGCTCTTCAAAGAAAGCAACGTAGAGAGACTTGGAAGAAGAAGTACTTTGGAGGCTTTGTCCACATGTGTGGGGACCACCTAGATAGCTTTAGTCTATCTTTCTTTTGTTTCTTAAATAGGGATAACGTAGGGAAGGAAGACACCACCTTTTAGTTTAGTTTTTAGCCTAGTCTTTAGTTTTTCTCTTCTTTCTCCTGACTGGCCTCTGACACACGCCAGGTGTTCGACAATATTCCCCAACGGAAAAAACACCTTTTATTCCTTGCTTCCTAATAGAAAACGCAATGCCTTTGCAATTTATTAATTCGTGTGGTGATTTAATTATGCGGCGTGGCTAAGCCTTCCATCTAGTCAAGGGTCAACTCGACGGCGCAGTCCCGAAAATCTGTGAGATCTAATTAGTTTTCACGTGTTCTTTTATTTATTAATATTTGCACGTTGTCTGCTTGAATTTTCAAGGGATTATTTTATTAATTGGATGTCAAGGGCCCGATGTTCAATGTGATTTATTAATCTCGTGCCAATTTAGTCAATTAAATCCGTAATTGTTTGATTGATTAATATTAGTGGCAACTGGTGTGTTTTCACATTAGGGGAACGTGCAATCTAATTTAAATAACCCTCGTAGCGTGTTATTGATTAGGGCTAGGTTTTTCTAGTTATTAATGCAATTGGAAAATTAATTCCTACGGTCGTATCTAGTAATACTTTTCTGGTTAGGGGTGATTAATGGTCGTACCTTGGTCATCTATAAAATAAGGAAAAATTGGTCATTAGAGCTCCTCGATGGCTATAACTAGTCTATTAATGAATTAAGTGAACCTCTCTTGTATCAATGATCGGATAAATGGACTGTGCCTGAGTAGTTGCATCCTTGGCTAGAATTTCTTTAGTCTTGTTTTAATTCCTGCTCAATTTGTGCTAGTTATTTGTTCATTTTTAGTACATTGTTTAATTATTTTTAGTTTCATTTCGGTGAAATCCCCCCTTACCAATTGGCATTTAAAAGAGACAAATATCTCCAGTCCCTGAGGAGACGACCCTACTTGCCACTGTCTACTATTCAGTAATTTTTGCCAACTAATTAATTCTGATATATCGGATTCAGCAAACTCTTCGGGAACAGGGTGAATCAAGTAATCCATTGCACACCTAGAGTCCCTGCTCCAGTACCTAGGATTAATTAATGACAGCTTTTTAGTGGTATTTAGGTTATCATTATTATTATTATTATTGCACAGGCCGACGACCTGTCACATTTTATGCATGTTTTCATTTTAGGATCTTTTTTTTCTCATATTGCATGATATTTCCCCTACTATTATTCTCTTACCATCTATATGTTTGGACCATATCATTTAGAATTGCATTTTATTTTAAGAAATTAGAAATAGTCTAGTCCATTTGCTTGAAGAGTTACCCTTCAAATATGGGAAATGAACGAGTATGCCTTCTTAGCCTTAGCACGCTCTTATTCCCCTCTGTAAAAGAAAAATTGAGTCACAAATCTTAGTCTCCCATATCCATTCTATTGCAATCCTCTCTTTTAAGTCATACATATTCATCTATATTATAGTTTCCTCTTTTTGAATCTCATCTTCAGCATATTCGTGACCTCTTCGAAGGATCATTTTTTGGGTCTCACAATTAATATGATTGGTACTAATTAGACTTTGAAGAGACATCTCGACCCTCTCGATCCCCCTAGGTTTAAGAATGCATCCATATATAAGTATCCAAATGTGATAAGTTTTATAAGTTAGACTAGGAAAATTTTCGACTAAATCTCATAACTAGTTTTGGTTAAATTGAAAAGTGCTTTAAGTTTGAACCTATCAAATCTTCGCCTTCCTTTTCTTCAACCGTGATTCCCAAACTCTTTTCTGTTATTTTTAAAGACCTGGAGTCATCTTAAAAGGGTTTTATTTATTATTTATCTTGAGTGACTTGGTACATCTAAACTCAATACCAAATGACAAATTTTTCTTTATTTATTTTCTAAAATCAAAAAATTCATTTTTTTAACACATAAAATTTATTTTCAAAAATGGGGCGCGACATCCCCAAGACTTTGAACTCTAGAAGAAACGAATTTTTTCTAGTTTCTGTGGATTCGACCATGTTCACCTTATATGCAAAAATTGTATTTTTTTTGAGTAGACATTTATTATTGCACAGGTTCAGTACCTATCAATTTTTAGCGCCATTGCCGGGGACTGGTACCTGATTAAATTGTTTCTTTTTGAGTTCATCTTATTTTTATTTTTATTTTACTCTTATTATTATTATCATCATCATCATCATTATTGTTATTATTATTATTATTTTACTAGTTTATGGCTGCTAATATTCAATATGTTGGTGATAAACTGGATTTTATTTCTAGAAGGGGTAATGAGGCTCGTATTTTTTCTAATAATCAATATTTAGATGCACTGACGTCTCATGTAGAGAAAGTGGCTGTTGCAACCTGTGGGATCTGTTATGTCTTGCATCATTTAACAGACATGTGCCCCGAATTTCAAGATGACCTGAGTGCTCCAATCAATACTTGTGGAGGTTTTTCACCCTATCTCAAGTATGGTGTGACCCTTATTCAAACGGGTATGATCAAGGACGGTGGGATAACTTTAACTTTAATTATGCAACAGAGCCAATGGATTTTCAACAGTAAGAGTATCAAGAACCATCATCCATGTCAGATATGTCTTTTGAAGAAATGATTAAATCACTAAATGTTTTTAGTAATAAGAGACAAAGTATAGAGCAAAACATGAAAATTAAGTCATGAACCAAAATCATATAAACATTAATTAAATTCAATGAATAAACATTAACCCTATACAAATTAACACAAAAATTCTAGGAGATAAATTTAGAATAAGAACAACTGATAAATTAATAATTATGAAAGAAATATCAAAATTACAAATCGAAAATAATGTATGTGTCTAAATAATTAATGATTATGAATCAAAATACAATAAATTGTAAAAGGAAAAAAAAATTAGACTTGCCTTGGAGGAAATATCAATGCTTGCTTGTTCCTTTGACTTGATTGATTAGATTGTTCGTTCGGGTGTTGGTTTTTGGCGAATACATCAAGTCAATCACGTATAAGGATAATTCTAAACATGATTAAATTTCCTTTTATTTATCAATTATCTATTTCCTTACGTTAACTAATGTAAGGATATACTAAATACATTAAAATTATAATCATGAAATTTAATATGTATATATATAACACACATATACATATATATATATATATATACATATAATTAATTTTCTTACACAGACAGTATATATACTCTCAATATTAGATGAATGATCACTATACAAAATTTGAATTTAAAATTTAACTTTTTCACATATATTATGGATCCAATGGTAACAATGTATACACCGTTATGTGTATAAAATTTATTTATTTATTTATATATATAAGGAAATTAGAGTGAGTTATTACAAAAGATGTCGTTTTCAGAGAGAAATTAAAAGAGATAAACATATTAAATAATAAAAAACACTTACTGAGGATGGGGTAAAAGGATAGAGTTCAAACTTCCTCTAATTGTTTAGATTATTTAGGAGATATTTGAATTTGTAAATTATAGACTGTTGTATTATTTAAAATATTTTTTGATGATTGGTGAATTATAAATTCAAAGATCTCTTAAATAATCCAAACAACTAGCGCAATTTAAATGAATTTCAAAAATTTCGTCAAATCTCTCAATCCAAGTGAAGGTTAGTGTTTTTGAAAAATTTTGGAGGCAGTTGCCCGAGTGCAACCCCTTTGTGCCCGTCGTTGTCTCCTTTGATGGTAGACCTTGCCGTAGTAATTGGGAAGGCCCCTAATGGTCCAATCCCACGGCCCCTTTGTGTCCGTCATTGTCTCCACTGATTCTGGACCTCACCGTAGTAATTGGGTAGGATCCTAATCCCTGAAGGGGGTGGTTCATTGTCATTACAACACAGCCAAATTTGTACTTGTAGACAAATTCAATGCCAGAAGACAATATTTACTTCCACACGCTGCTCCTCCATTCGCATGCAGCATGCTGAAAGAAATACAGCAGCATGCAGTATCTTTATGCTTCGAGTTTCTTGCATCTATTCTACCAGTTCAACGCGGAACTAAGAATGCCCTTAGTTATTCCAGGTGTTTTGTTTAATGATAATCACTAAGAAGGCAATAAATTCTTTCACGTTGGATTTGATTTACTACAAATAAAACACGAGGAAAAGAAGCGGTAACTTCATCTGTTCCTTTTTACCTTAATCCCTGTTTTCAACGACCGAGGCCCTGGATTTCTTTTTTTCTTTTGATGTTCAAATTCAAGAAAAATCTCCCACCGACAAATAAATAATCACCTCATTTATTACTCTAAAGCTAACAAGAATGTGAGCAGACTGATTTTCCTATCTCACAATTAATAGCAATAATATATTGTCTGGTTTTCTTTGTCAGACAAAGGACCGTCCTTGAGAAGAGCAGTTTTGTGTGATGGGAAATTTACATCTCATCCCATAAACTTTGTCTACTAGCAATTTTCAGTTCCACGGTTATATCTCTTAAGCTAAACTGCTTATCAACTAAAGATAAGATAGCAAAATTTGCTTTCATATATTGCATTGCATTTCAATGCTGTGATGGTAACAAAGTTAGAAAAATGATACATGCTTTTTAGTTTTGGTGATAGTCAAAATAATAAAACATCTCCCATCTCAATCTGTCCTTTGCAACCCATCTTCAATTTTCATTTCAATCTAAAATTATTGATTAGCAATGATGCCAAGATTATCAAAAAATTAAGAAAAAGGAAGGTGCACTTAAGACAGAGGAGCCTTATAAAACAAAAGCATAGTAGATTGCCTCCCTCAGGCTCAGGAAAACTTGACCACATATTGGTCATTAGACATTTGATATGCCATGGGTGCTTTCCCTAATTACAAAAAAAGATGAATTATAACATATAAATAGGGACACATAATAGTGGTAGTATAGTGTTCAAGAAACAATATGGGCATTCCACATGTTCTAGCTATACCTTATCCAGCACAAGGTCATGTACTTCCCCTAATGGAACTTGCCTTGCGCCTAGTCAAGAATGGCATCAAGGTTACATTTGTGAACACGGAATTTGATCACAAACGAGTCATTGAATCGTTATCAGGTGAAGAAAATGTACCTGATATGATGCATCTGGTATCCGTCCCAGATGGCCTGGAATCGTGGGAAGACAGAAATGACCTAGGGAAGTTAACAAAGACAATTTTTCGTGTTATGCCTGCAAAGTTGGAGGCTCTAATGGAGAAGATGAATGAATCTGAAACTGACAAAATCACATGCCTTATTACTGATGAGAGCATGGGTTGGGCACTGGAGATCGCGAAGAAAATGGGAGTCAGGGCTGTAGCCTTCTGGCCTGCAGCAGCAGCTGTATTGGCTCTGGAACTCAATATTCCAAAGCTCATTCACGATGGAATCATAGACAGCTCTGGTAAGACTCCTTTCAGCATAATGCTTTTACAGTTTCATCATTTTCGTATAGGCACTTACTTTTTTGTAGTCATAAAACAGTAAAACAATATAAAGTTGATTTAGAATTGGAACCTATGAAGTTAAAAATCATAATGCAAGCAAAGTAACAAACTCATAGGAAACAGGGAGGTGCAATTTTGGGTGTTTCAAAATAAGTTGAAAGTTGAAAAGCATATCAAGTGAATTAGTTTTCATCAATGCAAGGAAATTTTTGCAGCAAAGTAAACAAATGCTTTGCCAGAACAATGATTATCAAATTTGGCATTTATTAAGGCAAATTTTGTGGCAGGAACTATCACGAAGAAGCAGATGGTCCAGTTATCATCCACCATGTTAGCCGTGGACTCTGAACACTTTGCTTGGGCCAGTGTCGGTGATGCGACCACACAGGGTATTGTTTTTTATGCTATATTAAAAAATAACAGAACATTAAAAATGGCTGATTGGATTATCGGCAACTCGAGTAATGAGTTAGAGGCATCAGTTTTTACCTTATTTCCAGAAATGTTGCCAATTGGCCCTCTTCTAGCTAGCAACCAGCTTGGAAGATCAGTTGGTTCCTACTGGCCTGAAGACTCGGATTGCTTGGCGTGGCTTGATAAACAACCAGTCCAATCAGTCATTTATGTTGCATTAGGGAGCTTCACAGTTTTTGACCAGACACAGTTTCAAGAACTGGCTCTAGGCCTTGAACGCACCAATATGCCATTCCCGTGGGTTGTGAGGCGGAATTTAACAGCAGAAACAGATAATGCATATCCAAAAGGTTTCAAAGAGCGAATACAAGGACGAGGAAGATTATCCAGTTGGGCACCTCAACAACAGGTGCTGAGTCATCCTTCAGTTGCCTGCTTCCTCAGCCACTGTGGTTGGAATTCTACAATTGAAGGTGTAAGCAATGGTGTCCCTTTCCTCTGCTAGCCATACTTTGCAGACCAGTTCACTAATAGAAGCTACATATGTGATGATTGGAAGGTTGGATTAAGATTGGAAAAAGATGGAATTGGAATCATTGCACAAGGAGAAGTTAAGAACAAAATTGAGCAGCTAGTCACTGTTAAAGGCTACAAGGAGAGGGCCTTGGATTTAAAAGCAAAAGTTATGAGTAGTCTTAGAGAAGACGGATGTTCTGGCAAGAATTTCAACAACTTTGTCAAGTGGATTAAGGATGATTAGAACAACTAAGTGTGCTCTGAGCACGCTTGACTGCCACTTATCAATACAATTTAGCATTGATTCCACTCTACATCAAAGTATTTAGTATATTTTTTCCTTGAGATTTTGACTTATGCTTTTGCATTTCATTTTATAGCAGGTAATTCAATAGTTTCTTTTAAAAATTTTTTAGAACTTCAAGTTTACTTTTCTTGTTTGTTTAGGTGCTAACTAACTCGATGTTTGTCACTCTTAGATGAAACAAGCAAATATTTGCCAATATATTTTCAATTAACGTAATTAAGCATATTTATCTGGGCTAATTTGTTACAATGAATTACTAATTTTAGGAATATTTTGTACAAGTAAAAACAATTCTCACATTTAAGCATATATTTGTGAATACATGATTAGGCAAGTATAGTAAGCTACTACATAGGATGAGGAGATGTATCAAGCCAAAAGTGTTCATAATTTCTGAATAATTTATTGGCTTAATTACACTTTGCCCCCTGAACTTGAGCCCTTTTAACACTTTACCTCCCTAATCTCCAAATATATACGCTTTACCACTTGTGATCGATACACTATGAATTTGATCTTTTAGCACAAAAATAAATTAGATAATCCACAATAAAGAAGTCTAAGCAACTCAATGTGTTTTTTCTTAATGCTTATAGCAATACTTATTTTAAATGAAATAAAATTAATTAGTGCATTGGAATGAAATTTATTTGCTTATATTTTTTATTGTAGTACTTTTTAATGTGTTTTATATGAGATAAAAACATGATTAAAAAATAAATGTGTATTTTTGCCCTCTTGATAATTTTATTTTTGTACATGATAAAATGAGACGAGTTTAAGAATTTAGAGAGTAAAGCATCCACCACAAAAATTTAAAAACTAAAGCAAGAATCAAGATATAATTTGAGGGTGCCAAATGAAATTAACGCTAATAAATCAATAGTATATTTAACATAGTATGACAAATCATGCAATAAAACATGTTTGGCGTAAGAGAGCCATGACTTCACGTGTGGGTACTATCGACAAACAAACACCCCTTCAAGACAAAAGGCAGTTCCCTACATACAGTTTTTCCTAAAAGACTTGCAAATCAAAACTGTCAGCGAAGTTACTGAATCACAAGAAAATAGTAAGTGCAGCAATCAGCTGTTGGGGAAATCGGGTATTTTCCCACTCAAAATTACAACTAGTGATTAAACCGATTCAGTAATTCCCAGGAAAGATCGTCAAAACAATCTCCTTAAACAGAATTACCATTCCAAATAAATTCCCAGGAAAGGCTGGAGGGGTCACAAGCGGTCCCACTTAAAACCCAGTCTCCTAGACAGAACTTACGTGCACGGTGTATTATCACAACTATACCCGTGTATACATAAATAATACGTACACACGAATAAGAAAATACACCCAAGAGAATCGTATAATACACTATAAATAAACCCGGCAAATATAGACAAATATATTGAATACTATATTACAATAGAAAAGAAACTAATAAATAAATGCGGAACAAATAAAAGAGATAAGGAAAGAACGCACCCGAAAAATTGATAACGGAGTTCGGCCAATTTTGCCTACTCTCCGAGCACCACTCAAGCAGCCTGCTTTTATAATTTAGGAGAGAAGAAAGAATACAAAGAATTACAAAATCCTTATGGGTAATTCTTTGTTGTTCTTGGTACATTCAATTTGGAGGACTTGAGAGCTATTTATAACTCTCAAGCCAAGCTCTCAAATGCTAAGCTACTAGATGTGGGATTTGTAAATTTTGCCAAAAATCAACAATATTGGCTTGAGATAGTCAATAATGTTGGCTTTGAATTCAAATGTTGGCTTTGAATTCAACAAATCTCCACCTTGGCATAATTTCTAGTCCCACCAAAAATACAAACCTTCTCACCCAAACGGTCCTTGCGGTGCTTCCAAATTTGCGCCCTTAGGCGCCAACTCAAATATGCAGGATATTGACCAAGTCTAAACAATGTTCAAACTTGGACCTTGTAACCACCTTAGTCAGCATATCTGCAGGATTCTCCGCAGTCCAAATCTTCTGATGAAAAATCTCCTCTTCTTCGAGAATTTCCCGCACAAAGTGATAGCGAACATCAATGTGCTTCGTTCTTGCGTGCAAGACCTGGTTCTTTGCTAAGTGAATAGCACTCTGACTGTCACAAAATACATCAATGTGTTTTTGACCAACTCCCAAGTTTTCAAGCAATCCTTGAAGCCAAATTGCCTCCTTCACAGCTTCTGTAATTGCCATGTACTCTGTCTCCGTTGTTGACAAAGCCACCGTTGACTGCAAAGTAGGCTTCCAACTGACTGGCGCCTTGGTAAATGTGAACAAGTAGCCAGTTGTTGAACGTCGCTTATCCAAATCACCTGCATAGTCAGAATCACAATATCCAACTACACATTGACCAAGTGATTTATCCTGCTCAAATACTAATCCAACATCTACGGTATTTTGGATATACCGTAGAATCCATTTCACAGCTTGCCAATGACCCTTGCCTGGATCATGCATAAACCTGCTTACCACACTAACTGCCTGTGAAATGTCGGGTCTCGTACACACCATTGCATACATCAAGCTGCCAACTGCATTAGCATACGGGACTTTCGCCATGTATGATCGCTCTTCATCCGTCTTTGGAGATAATAGGCTACTAAGTTTCAAATGAGGAGTAAGCGGAGTACTTACAGGTTTTGATTCTTCATTCATGCCAAAACGTTGTAGTACTTTCTTCAAATACTGCTTCTGTGTCAGACAAAGCTTGCCGCTCGTTCTATCCCTGCTTATTTCCTTGCCGAGAATCTTCTTGGCTTCTCCCAAATCCTTCATCTCGAACTCTTTACTCAACTGAGCCTTCAATTTATCAATTTCAACTTGGCTCTTTGATGCTATCAGCATATCATCAACGTACAAGAGTAAGTAGATGTAGGAATCATCTCGTAGCTTGCGCAAATACACACAGTGATCGTATTTGCTTCTTGTGTACTTCTGACTCATCATGAACTGGTCAAATCGTTTGTACCATTGTCTCGGTGATTGTTTCAATCCGTACAACGATTTGCTCAGCTTACAAACCCAATTTTCTTTACCAGCAACTTTGAATCCATCTGGCTGAGACATATAGATTTTCTCCTTCAAGTCACCGTGAAGGAACGCGGTTTTCACATCAAGTTGAGTTAGTTTCAAATTCAACTGCGCTACCAAGGCCAACAAAATTCTAATAGAGGAATGTTTAACAACTGGAGAAAATACCTCATTATAATCAACTCCCTCCTTCTGAGCGTAGCCTTTAGCCACCAATCTTGCCTTGTAGCGAACATAAATCTTGTCAGGAAATCCTTCTTTCTTTGCAAATATCCATTTGCATCCAATTACCTTCTTGCCCTTCGGTAGTTGTGTCAACTTCCACGTCTTGTTCTTCTGAAGAGATTGCATCTCTTCTTCCATAGCATCTTTCCATCTATCATTTTCTGTACTTCGAACTGCTTCAGAAAATGTGGATGGAACATCATCAATAACTGGAAGTGCATAAGCCACCATGTCAACAAAACGAGCAGGTTTATGAATTTCTCGTCTTGCCCTATTGACGGCAATTGACTCTTGCTGCTGTTGAAGTTCTTGGGTTGAAACCTCTTCCTCATCTGACTCGTCTTCTGCCATGGGAGAGTCACTGATGGTTCTATTTGCTGGACTCACCACTAATTGCTCAAACTCCACCTGCTTCGGCGTACACTCCACCTGTTGAGGAGTACCACTGGTTCCATCTTGTGTTACCTTATTCAACATGGCAGATTCATCAAAGGTAGCATCCCTGCTGATAATGGTTTTCTTTGCTTCTAGACACCACAATCGGTATCCCTTAACTCCAGCACTAAAGCCCATAAAGAGAGCCTTCTTTGCACGTGGATCTAATTTTGATTCATTTACATGATAATATGCAGTAGAACAAAAAATACGCAAAGAATCATAATCTGTTGCAAGTTTTCCAGACCATACCTCTAATGGAGTCTTGCCACCGATTGCAGATGATGGCAAGTGATTGACGAGATGTTGAGCGTATGTCACAGCCTCAGTCCAAAATTTTCTGCCTAACCCAGCATTAGACAGCATGCAACGTACTTTCTCCACTAGTGTCTTGTTCATACGCTCTGACACCCCATTCTGCTGCGGTGTTTTTCTAACTGTGAAGTGCCGAACTATGCCACATTCTTGGCATATCTTCTGGAAGGGATCACTCTTGTATTCTCCACCGTTGTCTGTTCGGAGAATCTTGATCTTTCTTCCCGTCTGGTTTTCAACCTGAGCTTTCCATTTAAGGAAAATCTCTAGCACCTCATCCTTGCTCTTAATAGTAAACACCCAAACTCTTCTGGAAAAATCATCAATAAAAGTGACAAAATAATACCTGCCACCAAGGGATGGAGTCTTGGCAGGTCCCCACACATCTGAGTGCACATAATCCAAAATACCCTTGGTATTATGGATACCAGTGCCAAATTTCACTTTTCTTTGTTTTCCCAGAACACAATGCTCACAAAATTCTAATTTGCAAACTTTCGTACCTTTCAATAATCCTTGTTTGGCAAGATTTTGTAAGGATTTTTCACCAGCATGTCCCAATCGCATGTGCCACAACTTTGTTGCCTCCGTATCTTTCTTGCTACTGGAAGATGTTGCTGCTGCTGCTGTCCCAACAACTGTACTACCTTGGTAGTAATACAGATTATTCTTCCTCACATCTTTCAACATCACAAGTGCTCCCGAAGTTACTTTAAGAATTCCATCTCGCATCTTCACTTCCAGGCCTTTTGACTCCAAGAGTCCCAAGGAGATGAGATTCCTCTTCAAATTTGGCACGAACCGAACATCCTTCAGGATTCTGGTGGATCCATCATGATTACGCAGCTTGATTGAACCTATCCCAACTGTTTTACATGGATTGTCATTTCCCATGTACACAACTCCACCATCAAGT